AGCTGAAGCACTCAGACCTCCATAGCTGCTGCCCCCACGGTGTTGGTGAATTGTGTGCATCGCCTGGCCCTGCTCCTCTCCAGGACTGCCCTCCTCCAGCTCTGTCATCCTTGACTTGGGACTGGCTTCTATGGAGCAGAGTGGTCTGCCGAAGGAGGGAGTGCAGTAAATGTCTGTGTGAGTGTGCGTGCACTTGGGTGAGGGCCTGAGAGTTTAAAGGCAAGGATTTTGATTGGCTTGTAACAACCAATGAGCAGGCAGAGATGACGGCCAAAGGATATTCAAATCGATATAAAGGGTGATTTTCAAACCCCACCCCTGATTTTTGCCTTTCCCAGCACAGCTGTCCCCACTGTGTTCCATTTCACTTCCACCCGCTGGCCTCAGACCAAACCCAGCCACGAGCCTGCAGCTCAGGAGCACATGCAGAGCTGACAGCACCAGGCAGCACAGAGACCAGGGCCCTGTGGGTGGCGAATGGGGTGCAGGGGTTGGAGGATGGGGTTGGTTCCATGAAGTAGGGAAGGAGAAGAAGCAGGGAGAACCCAGCTGGGGTGATGGCTGCTTCCTGCACTCCCTGAGCCCAGGCCTCGCCCCAGGGTGCTTAGGGTGGAGCCTGGTTCTGTGCCTGTCCCCACCCCGCCTCAGGCTTCCTGTGAAGCACTGTGCCCCCAGACTGCAGGCTTGTGTGGGCAGTAGTTCAGGTCCCTCTGACCACTCCGGCAGGGAAAAAGCTGCTTTGAGACCAGATGCTTTGCATCTGGCATCCTGGGACCAGGAAGGGCCATTGTTATGGGACCATTGTCATGGGAGCGGGGATAACCCGGTCAGGGCGACTGGTGACTGAAGGATCCTGCTGGAGCCAGAGCACAGAGCCACTGGGGCCAGAGGTATAAGCAGACTTGTTGGGGTTCAGGGAGAAGACTCCTTGGATCTGAAATAGGTGAGCCTGGGCGAAGGCTGAGGAGGTGCCCATGGAGAATCTCTGAGCCCAGGAGGAGCAGCAGGCAGGAGACGGGAGGCCTGGGTGCCAGTCCTGGTTTGGCCCTGAAATAGCTGAGTGACTTTGGACAGGCCACTTGCCTTCTCTGGACCAAATCTCCCTCAGTTGTGAAATAAGCACTGAGAGAAATTCCCTTTTGTCCCTGCTACTTCTGGTTCTATCATGGGGGAAATTCACAACTACCCTTTCACCTTTGCCAGCCTAGCTTAGCCCTGAGCTGAGTTTTGGGGATCACCTTCAGATGTCTATGGCTCCCTGATTTCCCCATTTCCATGTCAGAGGCCAGCCCTCCCTTCCTGTGAGACTCAGCTCTACCTGGGCTCAGAGACACTGGTGCAGGCTGGACTGAGCCTCGCTAGAAAAGCAAGTACAGCTGACAAGACAGAGGAGGGAAGGGCAGCCCGGGGTTTCTCAGGCCAGGGCTGACTGGGCTCCCACGGGGAGGGAGGAGTTCCCAGAAAAGAGAGAGGCAGGGGCTGGCTAGACCAAAGCAGACAGAGAAGCCGCGATACTAAGTCACCCTGAGGGCCTCCAGTCTCTGTGCCCAGGAGTCAGAGAACAAGCCTTCAGATTAGGCTGAGGAATGAGGCGTCCCACCCAAAGCTGATCCCAGACAGTCCTCCACCCCACGGCCACAGCTGCTCCCCAAGCCCCATCACACCTCTTCCACCACCCCTCCCTTTCTCCCTCCCTTTCCCTGCCCCTTGAAGTGTCCTCCTCCCCTGCCCCTCACTCAAGGTCAGGAACACCAGCAGGAGCCTCCAGGGCCCTGTCACCTTCTCACCATGCGGGGGAAGCTAGAACAGGGGTTCTGGAGACGCTCCAATCCAGACGCCACAGCCCGTGGGCTGGGGGAGATGAGAAAGGCAAAGGCTTTGGTTGGGTAAGTGTGAGGGCTGCAGGGCAGGCTCGGGCAGAGGGGAGGGTGGAAATCACTGCCAGACCCAGCAGCCCAGCTCCCCAGACACTGCTTGCCTCCCCCTACCTGGCTGTAGTGCCCACCCAGCGGGCACTGGATTTCTCCCCACTGCTTCTTTCCTGACCATGGCGTTCCTCTCCACCTTAACACCCAAGGGAAAGGACAGGTGGAAAAAGGGTCGGGGCTTGGGGGCGTGTAAGTCCCTCTGGTCCCTAGGGAGGAAAGAAACCTCATTTCAGCCACATATGAGCACCAGATATGGAGGACACTGAACTCAAAGCTGAGCCAAGTTAGTGGGTGTGGGGTCTGGTCCACCCAGAATCAAATCAGAGCCTCTCCTGACCCGCTCCTGTGAATTTGAGACGTGTCTGTTGAGGAGGGACCTAGGGAGAAAGGAACCCAGACCCACTTAGCTCTGGCAGACCCGCTGGGGTCCCCACAGCAGAGGTCAGAGAGGAAGCCACAGAGGGAGGTAACTGGACGGCCTGGAATGCACGCAGAAAAGTGTCATATATCTATTTTACAGACAGGGAAACTAAGCTCTAGTCTGCCCCCAGGTCCATCCAGGGAGATAAAGCGAGGACTGAACACCCTGGGAATACAAAGTCTCCAGCTTGCCCAGCTCCTTCTCTGGGCTCCTGTGAGTGTCCGTGACAATGAAGTTGGGAGAGGAGGTTGCTGAGGCTCCCAAGTTCCCTGAAGGGCCTTCTCAGAGGGTGGGCAGAGAACCCAGAAATGCCCAGAACCCTAGGCCCTTTGACAAGACTTCGCTGTGCCCTGCTCTGATAGTGCCAAGGAGGAGGCGCTGTCCCTAGCTCTGCAAGAGACTTCCCAACTCCTTCAGCACAGTTACCTGCCCCAGTCCCTCCTGCAGAAATTCAACTTGTGACAAGGGCTATTGCGAGTCCCCAGGGAGCAGGGCCAGCCCAGCCTGGATGAGGGGCTGAGCCTAAGTCCAGGCTTCCCTGTCTCCAGGTCCCAGAGGCCAGAGGAGGCTGAAGGTGCAGATGGTTCCAGCAGGGTCCTCCCCTAGGGGACCCAAGATCCCAAGTCTATGCAGAGGGTGCCCACCCCACTCACACGGGTGGGGAGGCCACAGCACAGAGAGGGGGCAGATCCCCCTCCCTTTGAGAGCTCCTGTCCCCTGGGGAGAGAGGACACACTCTGACACATTAGACAATGATGCAGAGCCCGCCGCAGGCTGAAGAGTCACACGATAGTGGCACATGGCAAAGGGTGCTCCTGTAAGCTACAGGGAGGAGCTGTCACTTCTCAGAGTCAGCAGCAGTCAGAGAAGGGGCAAGTCAGCATAGGAACACAGTTGCTGACCCACCCACACACACACGGTGACATGCCTCATGCCATCTGGGGACAGGGCTGCCTTCCTCCCCCTCGGGAGGGTCCCCCGCCCTGATTGGGTACATAATCAGGTTCAGGGAGAAGTTGAGGCCCCACTGTTGGTGAGGAAACCCCCTACAAGCTCGCCTCTGCCTGTGCGTGTGATTCAGTGGGAGCCTCTCTCTCACGCCTGGTTTCCTGTCCTGTCTGTGGGTCACACTTCAACCAGACCAGCCGGAAGCCTCTGGGCAGAAGTCAGAAGGCCTGTTCCGATAATGCCACTTACTCCCCGTGAGACCCTGAGCAGGTGGCTGACCATACCTGGGCCTCAATTCCCACATCTTTGAAAAAGAAAAGTGATACCTCCCTCGCAAACGTGCTGTGGGACTTGATAAGGTGTGCATGGGCACACTTTGTAAACATGCTTGTGTGAGTGACTGGCAGACATCGCTCCCTGAGCTGTCTTCTAGCTCCGGAGCTGCAACCTGCTTTCCCACTTCGGTCGGTCCCTTGAACACGAACATCTGATCGCCCTACTGTGTCCGCCTTTCGCCTACCCCTCTACCCTTCCCATTCTCAGTCCCCGTGCACTCCTACCATAAGGAGAAGGGTGTTGTGCTGACATGGAGTGGGGAGCAGAAGTCCAGGGGCAGGCAAAGCAGTGGACGTGGAATCGAGCCCACTTGACAGGCTCCAATTCCCATCTCAGTTACTACCTCTGTACACAGAGTCCCCGGCAGCAGACGCCACACCAGCAGAGCCCCAGCGGTACAAGTGCAATTACACACAGCGTCCCTACACCTCCTAAGATATATTAGCTCGCTCTCTTTGTAAATTGCATCTGATTTTAAAATTAAATCTTTGAAGCACCGACATTAACTAAAGAAAGAGATGCTAGTGTCTTTCATCTGTTTATGTTTTAATTAAACAATATTTCTCCAGGGTACTTAAGTGGTGGGGTTCAAGGATGCAGAGTTGGGGCCCAGTCCAGGTCCCTAGGCTCCCTCTCCCCCACCTCACTGATGCATCCCTTCTGAGGAACCCTGCTCCGTGTGCTCTCCCAACCCTCCCCTCCTCTACCTTTGCCAGGGACCGTCCCTACACTCCTTTTCTGGTTTTGAATCCCCACCTCCTCTCCCCTCTCCCCTCCCACACCCACGAAACCTTCCAGAGTGGAAACACATCACTGACCCATCACACAGGCCTGGGCATGATGTTCCTGGCCACCATGTGACCAGTGGGGCTTGGGGTTCATGATCAGGGTTCCAAGTGTCCCTGAGCTTGTCATCCACCTTCAGCCTGGCATTCCCTGGAGAGGGCAGCAAATCCAGGGCCCTGCAAAGAAGAGGCAGCGCACAGAAGGAGTGAACGGGAGGCAGCCCATTACTCGCCCACAGTTTCCTCCTGGCCTTCTCAGCTCCTCCCTACGGGGTAGGTCATGGTGGGGAGGAGCAGCTGGGCACAGGGGAGAGCAGGCATGGTCTACAGAGGCCCGAGAGCTGTGTGCCAGACAGCACTGAGCCCACCAGGCCCAGACTCACCTATAGCTGGAGATTCCCACTTCCCTGTGCCCATAGCATCTGCCCTTTGAAGCCTCCCATCTCCCCAGTGCAGGCCTTGGCCTTTCTCATTTTTTATCAGAGGTGCTGGAAGAGCAGCAAAATCAGGCCCAGCTCCCAGTTCCCTCTCCCCAGTCGTCTCCAGGTGTCCCCTCCCACCAGCACACAGGAAAAGGGCCACATGGCCTGGCATGCCTCACACCCACGGCTGCTACTGCTGCTGTTGCTGTTCCCAGGTGAGGGGGAGGAGCAGCCCAGGGAGCAGAGGAGATGCATGTGGTGGAAGCAGAGGAGATGGGTGTGGTGGGAGCAGAGGAGATGCGTGTGGTGGGAGCAGAGCAGATGC